CCCCTAAATTTACTAGAAACAGTGATACAATGTCAACTTGCATGCATTCTGTTCTATATCGCATATAGAAAAAGGAGAGATTCCAATTTAGTACATTTCTCCTTTGTTTTCCCCTCTTGAATGCTTGCAAAAAAATTTTGTCTTTGTCTTTGGAATTTAAAAGAAAAGTCAAGAGAGTATATTTTGGCCCAAGGCCATCCATTAATTTTGTAGAATACTTTGTATAGGACTTGAGCCATTCCATCTGACAAGTTAATAAACTTCTTTGGCTTAGGATTTTTTTTCTATTATTTCTTTTATTATTACTTTTCTTCTGTCCGTTCATGGGGTTCTTGAATCTACCCAAAATCTCCTTTATACTCTATTATAAGTACAATTTTTTAATGTCTACCATTTTTCTTTGAGTTCTTGGAGAATGTTTCATTCTGGTTCAGTCATTCACCAATTTAAGTTGTTTTGTTTTTGTTTTTGTTTTTGCAGCATTCGCCTTACTGTTCACTGTTTCCATTGCATTGTTTTTTTTAATTGTGGTAAAATATACATACCATAAAGCTTAACACTTTAACCATTTTTAAGCATACAGTGTGGTGGCAGTAAGCTGTGCAACCATCACCACTCTCCATCTCCAGGACTTTTTCATCATCCCAAACTAAAACTCTCCCCTGTCCCTGGCAACCTCTATTCTACCATCTATCTCTATTATTTTGCCTGTTCTAGGTACTTCATATAAGTGGAATCAGATAATTTTTGTCCTTTTGTCTGGCTTATTTCACTTAACATGTCTTCAAGGACCATCCATGTTGTAGCGTGTATCAGAATTTCATTCATTTTTAAGGCCAGAATAATATTCCATTGTATGTATATACCACATTTTGCTTATCCATTTATCTGTCAATGGATGGTTGAGTTGTTTCCATCTTTTGGCTGTTGTGAATAATGCTGCTATGAACATTAGCGTGTAAATCTCTGTTCAAGTCCCTGGTTTCAATTCTTTGGGGCATACACTAGCAGTGGAACTGATGGATTATATAGTAATTCTGTGTTTACTTTTTTGAGGAACCATCATACAGTTTTCCACAGTGGCTGCACCATTTTACAGTCCTCCCAACAATGCATAGAGATTCCAATTTCTCCACATCTTTATTGATACTTATGATTTTCTGTTTTTTTTTAAATTGAGGTAACATTGGTTTATAACATTATATAAGTTTCATGTGTACAACATATATTTCTACTTCTGTGTACATGACAGCATGCTCACCACTAAAAATTTAGTTTCTATTCATCACCATAGTTGACCCTCTACCCATTTCACACTGCCCCCCAACACCTTCCCCTCTGATAACTACTCTGTTCTCTGTATCTACGTGTTTGTTTTGGTTTTCTGTTTGGCTTATTTTGGTTTTCTGTTTGGCTTTCGGATTCCACACATGAGTGAAATCATACAGTATTTGTCTTTCCCCATCTGACTTATGCCACTTAACGTAATACCCTCAAGGTCCATCCATGTTGTTGCAAATGGCAGGATTTCATCTTTTTATGGCTGAGTAGTGTTCCATTGTGTGTGTGTGTGTGTGTGTGTCCATTCACCCATTGACAGGCACTTAGGTTGTTTCCATTTATTGGCTATTATAAATAATGCTATGATGAATATAGGGGTGCATAGGTCTTTTCTAATTAGTGTTTTCATATTCTTCAGATAAATACCCAGAAGTCGAATAGCTGGATCATATGGTAGTTCTTTTCTTAATTTTTTGAGGAAACTTCATACTGTTTTCCATTAGTGGCTGCACCGATTTACATTCCCATCAACAGTGTATGAGGGTTCCCTTTTCTCTGCCTCCTTTCCAACACTTTTTTTTGTTTGTTTGTTTTTGTTTTGTTTTTATTTTTATTTTATTTTTTATTTTTTCCAACACTTTTTATCTCTCGCCTTTTTGATAATAGCCATTCTAACAGGCATGAGGTAATATTTCATTATGGTTTTCATTTGCAGTTCCCTGATAATTAGTGATGTTGAACATCTCTTCATGTGCCTGTTAGCTATCTGTATGTTTCCTTTGGAAAAATGTCGATTCAGGTCCTCTGCCCATTTTGAAATTGGGTTGTTTGTTTTTTTGGTTGTTGAGTTGTATGAGTTCTTTATATATTTTGGATAATAACCCCTTATCAGATATGAAGCTTTTTAGTTCGATGTCATCCCATTTGTTGATTTTTGGGTTTGTTTCCTTTGCCTGAGGATACATGCTCAGAAAGATATTGCTAAGACCAATGGCAAAGAGCATACTGCCTGTGTTTTCTTCTAGGAGTTTTATGGTTTCAGGTCTTACATTCAAGTTTTTAATCCATTTAATCTGTTGGGGTTTTTTTTCCTTTATAACAGCCATCCCAATGGGTATGATATAGTATCTCACTGAGGTTTTAATTTGTATTTCCCTAATGATTAGTGATGTTGAGCATCTTTTCATGTGCTTATTGGCACATTCGTATATCTTCTTTGGAGAAATGTCTATTCAAGACCTTTGTCCATTTTTCAGTTGGGTTTTTTTAAATTGTTATTATGTTCTAAGAGTTCTTTACATATTCTGGATATTAATCCCTTATTAAATATATGATTTACAAATATTTTCTCCCATTCTGTGGGTTACCTTTTCACTCTGTTGATAGTGTCTTTTAATGCACAAAATTGTTTAATTTTGATGAATCCAATTTATCTATTTTTTTTCTTCTGTTGCCTTGCACTTTTGGCTTTATATTTCAAGAAATCATTGCCAACTCCAATGTCATAAAACTTTTCCCCTTTGTTTTTTCTAAGAGTTTTATAGTTTTAGCTCTTACATTTAGGTCCTTGATCCATCTTGAATTAATTTTTGTTTATGGTTTGAAATAAGGGTCTAATTTAATTATATTGAAAATGGATATCCAATTTTCCCAGCACCATTTATTGAAAACACTGTCTTTGCCCCCATTAAATGATTGGCACCCTTGTTGAAAATCACTTGACCATATATGCAAAGTTTTATCTCTGGGCCCTCTATTCTATTCCTTTGGTCTATACAACTGTCCTTATGCTACTACTGTGGCTTTGTAGCACGTTTTGAAATCAGAAAGTGTGAATCTCCCAACTTTTGTTCTTTTTCAAGATTGTTTTGGCTATTTAGATTCCCTTGAGATTCCATATGAAATTTAGAATAAGTTTTTCTGTTTCTGTCTTTGGAATTTTGAGAGATTGCATTGAATCTGTAGATCATTTTGGGCAGTACTGTCATCTTAACAATATTAAGTTTTCTGATCCATGAACATAGGCTGTCTTTCCATTTATTTATGCTTTCATTAATTTCTTTCATCAATGTTTTATAGTTTTTAGTGCCATTGCATTTTTTAACTGACAAATAATATCTTTCAACCCAATGAATATTTTTCTGATCCTGAATTTTTCCTTGTGTTTGTGGGAGGCACACCCTGTTATTGTGTTAGAGATGATATATCTTTATCATGAATATCAATTAGAATTGTTTTATGTGTTCTCCTGTTTCTTATATGAGTTTGCTTCAAAGGGGAAATTTTCTCAACTTTCTTAAATTGGTCCTTTCTTTCCATCTTATGAGAATTTTCCTTAATAGAGTGACTCAAAAGAGGAACAACTAGGTTTTTCAGGACTGGGATTTGGGATGAGTTCTGTCAGAGATCATGTAAATTTTTGTTGAAAATGTGAAGATCACAGGAAAAGAAGATGGGAAAATTTATATGTAGTGTAATTTTTTCTTGAAAAAGGTAGAGACCTAGTAGGGTATCCAAGGTAAGGAGGAAGTTTATGCCAAAGGAAAATGGTGAGTTGTAGATGTTAGATCACTGTGTTAAGAACCTATCCTACCACCACCCACAGGCTTTTCTCAGGTCACAGAATTCCAGGCTCGTAGGTCCTTCCCTCTTCCTGATCTCAGCAGCTCTACATCTTGCAGGAATTCTTCCGAGTGTCTGGCATATGTATGGCACCCTTACCAATTTTCCGGCAATGAAGAACATTTGCCCCTCTCATACTTGCTTAGCTGTTTCTACAGCATTTTCGAAAGAAAAGGGGAGGTTAAAAAGTGTAGACCCAGATCACTACTTTTAACTGGAAGTTTCACCTTTCTTCTAAACTTTGCAAGATGAAAAAAAAAAAAGCATGATGAAACACCTATGGGTCAAAGAATTAATATGTCTTATCCAACCCACTGGCCTCACTTCACTGCTAAGAAAATCATTCTCAGAGAGATTGAATTATTTGCCTAAATTCATATAAGTAGTCAATGACAGTAGAATTTTTTTTAACTCACAAAATTAAAATTCTTAAATCCAGTGATTTTTTTTCTGCTACATTACATAGCTTACCCAATTCACTGTATTAGTATGCACGCTGCTGTCTTTTGTTTCTTATCTGTGGAATAATTAAATGGTAGCAACCACTGTATATATGTGCATAAATACATATGCATTTGTGTATATATATGTATATAGAATATATACTCCTTTATTAATGGTTTATTATGTACCAATAACCTAGAATACTTTTTTCAACTATAGGAAGAGAAAATGATAATACCTACCATGTAAGGTTGTTATGGGAATTATATTATTTATTATGTTTTATGTAGATGGGGATACCGAGTCATAGAAGGCTCAAAAGCCTCCTTGCCATAAAACTGAAGGAACCTGGATCTGAGCCTGGGAACCATGGCCCCAATGTCCACACTCCTAATCACTGTGCTATAGGGTTTCCCACAATTTTACTACTATATACACTTTTAAATTAAAAACAAACCTAAGCATACGCAACTCACCACCCCAAACCCTCTAACTTCTTCCAGAAAGCAATTCCCTGAAAGCACGTGCCCTCTGCACGTTTTATCTTTGTGGCCTTTTTAATGACGTCAGCTTGGAAATACTCCTCGCAAAAAGGCACAGAGGTAGGATCAGTATTTGGCAGATGGGGTTAAGAGGTTAAGCATCTTGCTTACTGGTTTTAAGGAGCCGAAGTAAAAGCCAGGAACGCTTGGCTCAAACTGCTGAGTGGAAACCAAGAGACCACACTTCTCTATCCCTCTCAGCCAGCCTTTGGTTTGGTTTGAAGAGTGTGGTTTTGCCATCAGTATCACAGGGGAAAATGACATATTTTGAACACATCACTTGATTCCTGGAGAAGAATGAATACAGGCTGTCATTACCAAGAGACATAGTTCTAAAAGCTTTTTCTAAGTTTAAAAATAACAAGAGAGAAAAAGAGTCTTCAGATACTTTGTGCTTGAAAGCCTCTGGATTCATTCCATTTTAAAGTACTATTCGTTCAGGTACAAGAAGATTAGATGGCAAAATTAGGAGACATGGAGGGGAGCATTTATTTATTCTCTTGTCCTGTTGATGGAGAGAGAATATCATGGGGTCTGAGTCCATGGGAAAGGTCCTTACCTCTCTGTGCCTCTGTTTCTTCATCTGTAAAATAAATAATAATGATCAGCCTTACCTTGTAGAACTGTTGGAAGGATTAGCAATGCCAGGCACATAGTAAATGGTGTTGTTACACTTGTGGTTGTTAGGGTCTTAACAAAGAGCTGAGGAATCACCCTCACTCCTCCTGGACACACCCCACTCCAATCATCACAGCATAGCCAAGAATAATTCAGAGTGAGTCCCCGGCTCTCCGTGACTCACACCCTTCTCTGAAGTTTTTAACCGTTGGCCAGTCTATCCCTATATAGAGGAGCATGGGTAGAAAAGACTGCTTTAGCATGAAGTCAGGTAAAAAGTTATTTTTTCCTTTGCCTAATGGTTCTAGCAAGACTTCCTCCAGACGGGAGCACACAGGCAGTGTCTCTAGAGGAAGTTTGTCTAAGGGCTTCTCATATTGCATTTCAATGATGGTAAAAAGAACCCACCTTGAAGCAATTCAGCGGGTCTGGGAACAGACTGAGATGTGCGAGAGTAGAGTGGTCCAGTGTTTCTCACACTCTCCCTCTGGAGGACCCCTGTTAGTAGAAGAAAGTACCCTGGGGCATAGCCCTGGGGTCCTAGGGTAGAATTTGAAGTGGCTCATCAAAAGCAAGAAATTTCTTCAACATCCTTTCATCTTAAAAATGACGATCTTGGGGCTTCCCTGGTGGCGCAGTGGTTGAGAGTCCGCCTGCCGATGTACGGGACACGGGTTCGTGCCCCGGTCCGGGAGGATCCCACATGCCGCGGAGCGGCTGGGCCCGTGAGCCATGGCCGCAGAGCCTGCGCGTCCGGAGCCTGTGCTCCGCAGCAGGAGAGGCCGCAACAGTGAGAGGCCCGCGTACCGCAAAAAAAAAAAAAAAAAAGACTATCGTATTTACAAAGCAGAAATAGATACACAGACGTAGAGAACAAAGGTAAGGATACCAAGGGGGAAAAAGGGGGATGGAATGAATTGAGAGATCGGGATTGACATATATACACTATTGATACTATGTATAAAATAGTTAACTAATAAGAACCTACTGTATGGCACAGGGAACTCTACTCAATGCTCTGTAGTGACCTAAATGGGAAGGAAATCCAAAAAAGAGGGGATATATGTATACGTATAGCTGATTCACTTTACTGTACAGTAGAAACTAACACTAAAGCAATTATACTCTAATAAAATTTTTTTTAATTACTGAGTAATACAAAAAATATGCATGTGCATTTGTATTCTATTCTATAAGACTCCAATGCTTGATTTTTTATGAAAGTCATGTGGAGTCCTTTCTCAAATTTTGGAGTACAATTTATGCCCCAGGGAAAAAAAAATTGTATATATACATATACACACACACATCTTCTGTGTCTTTGTGTCCAGTACATTGTCCTATACCAAGTTTGAATGCCACAGATGTAGTAGAGACAACACAGACTTTGTACCAGGACCAGCCTGGGTTCCAATCTGGGCTCCACCAGCATGCGCAAGTTCTTTACTTCTATGAATCTGTTTTTTCACATGTATAATGAAGATGACAATCATCATATGGTGTTGTTGAGAAACTTCATGAATTAATACGTGGAAAGAGGCCAGCAGAAACCCTGGCACAGCACAGATACTCAGGAAATGTTACTTCCCTTCCTCACCTGCTATGCTTCATGTGGCACATACAGATATAAAGGATAAAATCTGACAGAGCAGCGTCCAGAAACATTCTTGTCTGGATGAAGCCAGCAAGGCAAACTTCAGAAATAGTGGAGTCTAACGATGGTAGAGTTCTCCTATTCAAAGCTAGATAGCCACGGGCTTCCCTGGTGGCGCAGTGGTTGGGAGTCCGCCTGCCGATGCAAGAGACACGGGTTCATGCCCCGGTCCGGGAGGATCCCACGTGCCGCGGAGCGGCTGGGCCCGTGAGCCATGGCCGCTGAGCCTGTGCGTCTGGAGCCTGTGCTCTGCAACGGGAGAGGCCACAACAGTGAGAGGCCCACGTACCGCAAAAGAAAAAGAAAAAGCTAGATAGCCACAACCAACAAATTTTCTGTGGCCTAACCAAAACAAACACCACTATTGGTCCACAGCAGGCCTGTCCATCATCTCCTAGCCTCCTGGCCTCCAGTGTGGGGCCTTGAGCCTTAGATTCAGTGCTGCCTTTGATAGACTCGGAATGGCTCCTCGTGGACTGCAGTTCAGCCTTTGCTACTCCCTCTCAACAATTTTTTAAATTATTAAATATTCTAAGTATAACAAGAGCATACCAAAAAAAGGATAGTAAACACTCAGTATCCACCACCAAGCTTATAAAATAAAATGTTACAGGTATTGACCCCCCCCTTTCTCTTTCCTTACCAGAGGTATTACTATCCTGAATGTGGGATTTATCATTTTAATGACTTGTATATTTTTACATACCCATGAATAATAAATTGTTTCCTATTCCACTTTATAATAAATTATCATATTGCATGTATTTTTCTTGAACTTGCTTTTTACACGTAACATCATATTTCTGAAACTTTTTCTATGTAGATACATGTAGCTGCACTTGGTTCATTGTAACTAATGTATACTTTCTGTTGCATTGAATTTTATTGTGAGAATGTACCACCATGTACTAATCTATTCTCTTATTAACGGACAGTTAGTTTCTAACTTTCTGCTGTTATAAACAAAGTTGCAATGAACATTCTTGTACCTGTCTCCCAGACAGGTGGGAAGCAAGATTTCTCTTCTATAACGATATATAACTAGGGATTGAATTGCTAGGTCTTTGGTACGTGAATATGTAACTTAACCAGGCATGATTTAATTGTTCTCCAAAGGGGCTGCACCAATTTACAATCCAATTAGCGATTTATAAGAGTTTTCATTTACCCAAATCCTACCAACATCTTGTATGATCCCCCCAACTTTTCTCAAATAGATGCGCACACATTTGACTTGTGGGTTGGATTATCTGGTGTGGACCTAGTGTACTCCTACCTACCCCCACCTCCAGCCCAATATTGCTCCAAAGTGTGATAAGGAAGTCCTGTCTTTGTAGAGAAGTGTAACCTTCTCCAGCCTGACCGAAATAGCAGACTCTTGTCTATCATCTACCCTAGGGCTGCCTGCTTCAGCTTCCATCTGAGAGGGTGACCCTGGACTCATTCTCTGTTGCACAGGATTGGTAGAGTGCCACTCTATCCTATGCCCTTCCAAACACTCCTTGTGGTCAGCAGTACTAAGCTCAAGTATATCAACCTGACCATTTTAGATGCCACCAGCACCAGGTGAGATCTAGTCCCTAGTGAACTAAGAGGAACATGGACCTAAAGGTTCTCATGGGATAAAGATACATATTTGCGCAACCCTGACTATGGAGCCTACTTTCTTTCCACCATTCCCATCTCTTGCAAAGTATGACTCAACTAGGGGAAAGTGTTAGTGATGGGAAAGGTCTTACAGGGATTTGTTTCAAAAGCCAAGTGCTGCCATAGGAAACTGCACGGTGAAAACCACTGCACAAATGAGAAACCAACCAAAACAGAGTTGTGTACAGAGGAGTTTGTTTGGACAAATTCGTCACATTGCCCTGTGATTAATCCATTGTTCCTGTCCTCTGTGCCAGTTTAGGACAGCTTGGGAATTTGGAAATTCCTTGATGGGCTCCTCTTAGCGAACTTTGGTTACTGGCCTGCACTTGACCCTGTGTCACATTGTGGACTACTGCTGTCTGCCAAATGTGGCCTCTCCAGTTCCCAGCGAATTCCCAGGTTCTGTTTCTGTTTCAACCATTGGTCCCCACATAAAATCAGATGCAGTCTGAGCTGGAAGGAAGCTGGTAGATCTTATAGTTCCACACCTTCACTTTACATTTGAGAAGTCAAAGGTTGACATGTGTTGGAAGTGGCAGAACTATGATTCAATTCCAAGTCTATCTTCCTCCAAAATCCACGCTCTTGTGAATGGCACTGAAGCCATGGGAAGAATGAGATTGCCTTGTAAGACAGTGTAGGTGTAAAAATAAGGGGATCTGGATTCTGGGGCCCTCCAATCTTTAGAGTTCTAGAAGAGAAGGAAAAGCCTACACAGAACTATGAGAAAGAACACCTGATGAGGGAGATGGAGAGAGGATGCTGTGATGGGAGTCAAGAGAAGAAAGCATTTTAAATTGAGAGGGAGGTTAACTGTGTCTGATGCTGTAAGAGGCTGAGTAAGAGGAAGCCAGAGAAGTGACCATTGGATTGGGAATGTGGAGATCACTGGGGAACCTTCACAAAGCCCATTTCAGCAGAACTGTTGAGACAGAAGTCACTGCAAAATAGGTTAAAAGGTGAGGGCTTTCAATTTTCAATTGAGGGGTAATGACATTTTTAGCCCTTTTGCTTGCAAAAAGCACCCCAAATCAGGAGAAGGTAAAACACCATCACAGATTTGAGGAAATTAAGAAATATTTAACCATAAGAACACCATAGATGAGGACAGAAAGAATACAGGGAGTGGCAAGTGATGTAAGCAGTCAGATGTAATCCTGAAAAGGAGATACTGAAGAGGAACTAGCCTTGTAGCCTTGCAGAATCTTGGAAAGGAAGGGTTACGGGGTGAAGCTTGGACTATGTTTAAAGGATCTTTTCAACCTTCAGAACTACTCGCCTCCACTACAATTTGAAAATTACCCCTTTTCCAGCTCCACCAGAAAAGAGAAGTATGTTCTCTGGCAAAATTAAACAAGAATCGTTTCCTGGATGGACACCAGGCATGGGAGATTATGGAGACGTGCATAACAAATGTTGCTACTCCCAACCCTCCCCTTTGTCAATTCCAGAACTAGCACAAAGGAAAGAGTTTGAAAACTACTTCTCTGTAGAAATAAGTATTTCAGAGGGGGAAAAATGCTCATCCATTGATATTTGAGGGTCCTCAATGAAAAGATCCTGTTGACAAAAACTGATCGTCCACCAACTGGCACACCCCACCAGGCACACAGAGCTTCCAACAAGTCTTAGCCTCGCTCATCCGCTATGAACAGATGTAT